AGAGAGAGAGAGAGAGAGAGAGAGAGAGAGAGAGAGAGAGAGAGAGAGACCATAGCAGCGAGAGAGAAAGAGAGCTAGAGAGAGAGAGACCATAGCCGAGAGAGAGGAGTAGACGAGGAGATCGGATCGACAACCAGAAAGGCGGCGTTTTTCGTTCTTCTTCTTCTTCTTCTTCTTCTTCTACTCCGGCTTCTTCTTCTTCTTCTACTACTTTGGCTTCTTCTTCTTCGTCTATATATTATTATTATTATTCTACTTCTTCTTTTTCTCTTTTCGTAGTCGCTATCCTCCGCTGCTGGACACGTGGCATGTGGGAACGCCGACCCTCCGCTGCTCGCCACATGGCAACCGCCGTTCTCCTGTACGCCTCTCAACGGACCTTATTATTCGTGCAGTTGTTACGTGGCAAACCGCCACGTGATTTTTTTTTTAACGTTTTTTTTTGCTTTTATAAAGCCCTCTCCGACCCCCATCCCGAACCTCACCGACCTCGATCTCGATCCTGTACGTGTAGGGAAAAAACGGGAATTCTACTTCTTCTTCTTCTTCCATTGATTGATTGATCAATCAATCAATCAATCAACCAATCAATTAACCGATCGATCAGTTTAGTGAATCGATTCATTGATTGATTCATGGTTTTGCGCGCGCGCGCGTGCGAGAGAGAGAGAGACAGAAATGTGGACCTCGACCCCGACCTCGACACTCTCATTTGCGTGGTCGAGCAGTTGCCACGCGTTGCCACAAACACACACAAGCACGGAAAGGGAAGAAGTTTTTTTTTTTGCATGATTTTTTCGTCGATTGATCAATTGATTAATTAATTGGTTGTCGGGGGGTCGGCTCCCCCCCCAGTGTGCACACACACTCACACCAATCAATTAATCAATCAATAATTCTTTTTTTTTAACTTTTTTATTGATTGATTGATTGATTGATTCCCGAGACGGCCGCAATGCTGACGTGACCACAATCACGAGGGGACCCGACTAACTGGAATGCCAATCCGACCCGACCCGATGGGACAGATTGATGCTCATCCCGACGAGAGCAATCAATCAATGAATAAATCAATCAATCGATCAATCAAGGAATTGATTTATTGATTTATTGATTGATTGATTGATTGGTCGATTGACTGATTGATTGATTGATTGACTGATTGATTCGCGAGCCGACACCAATCGATCAATCAATCAATCTTCTTCTTCTTCTTCTTCTTCTTCTTCTTCTTCTTTTTCCCCTGCCGTTGTCGCCGTCATCCTGATCCCTTTTACGGGGAAGCTCGACACGTGGCAAGATCGTCACGTGCCAAGTTGGCCACGTGCCAAGTGGCCCACGTGGCAAGTGGTCCCTGCCTGTCCTCCGCCACCGCCGGTTCCGCCGACTTCCCCACCTCCTCCGCCTTGGCTTCCGGCTCCGGCTCCGCCTCTGCCTCCCCCTGCGTGTCCTCCTCCACCTGCGCTTCCGTCGACTTCTCCACCTCCTCCGCCTCGGCTCCGGCTCCGCCTCGGCTCCGGCTCTGCCTCGGCTCCCCCTGCGTGTCCTCCTCCACCTCCGCTTCTGTCGGCTTCCCCACCTCCGCCGCGTAGCCTTCGGCTCCGCATGCGCCTGCGTCGTCGGCTCCGCGTCCGCCTTCTTCTTCTTCTTCTTCATCTTCTTTTTCCTCTTCTTCTTCTTCTTCCCCCGACTTCCCCCTTTGCTTGCGCTTTCCCCCCGCTTCCGCTTCCGCTCGCTACCTCCCTTTCCCACATGACAAGATCGCCACGTGGCAAGTTCTCCACCTCCCCCTCCCACGTGCCAAGATCGCCATGTGGCAAGTTCGCCACGCGGCAAGCTCGCCACCTCCCCCTCCCACGTGACAAGATCGCCACGTGGGAAGTTCACCACTTCCCCCTCCCATGTGCGAAGATCGCCACGTGGCAAGTTCACTACCTCCGCTTCCACTTCCCAATCCTGATCCCGATCCCCTCCACCCGCCTCCGCCCACCTTCGCCGACCTTCGCCCACCTCCACCCACCTTCGCTCCACCTGCCCACCTCCGCCCACCTCCGCGCACATCGGCCCATCTGCGGTCCACGCGACCACCTCCTCTACGCCCACCTCGGCCCGATTGATTGAAAGGGGGGTCAAAGGATCATCGCGGTTCCCTCCGAGAGAGAAAGAGATTCCCTGGCCCCTCCGCTGCTTCCCCTCCCACGTGCGAAGATCGCCACGTGGCAAGTTCGTCACGTGGCAAGTCCGCTACCTCCGCTTTTGCTTCCCAATCCCGATCCCGATCCCCTCCGCCCGCCTCCGCCCACCTCCGCCGACCTTCGCCCACCTCCGCCCACCTTCGCTCCACCTCCGCCGACCTCCGCCCACCTCCGCTCCACCTCCGCCCCACCTCCACTGACCTCCGCCCACCTCTGCCAACCTCCTCTCCACCTCCGTCGACCTCCGCCAACCTCCGCCGACCTCCGCTCCACCTCCGCCGACCTCCGCTCCACCTCCGCCGACCTCCGCTGACCTCCGTCGACCTCCGCCGACACTCCACCTCCGCCCGCCTCCGCCGACGTCCGCCGACCTCTGTCTTCTCTGCTTTCAATCAATCGATCAATCAATCAATCAATCAAGCGATCATTGATTGATTGATTGATTGAAATTGACAAAAAAACTTATTTAAAAAAAAAACGCTCCCGGCCCCGCTTGCACCTCCACCTCCGCTTCCGCCACCCGCTTCCAATGCTTATCAATCAATCAATCAATCAACGAATCAACCAATCAACTTCGGTTCATTGGTTGATTGATTGATTGATTGATTGATTGAAAAAAAAAAAAAAAGTTATTGCTATCGCGAACACGTGGGGACGGCACCCGATCCGACTCAATCAATCAATCAATCAATCAATCAATCAATCAATCAATCAAGATTGGTTGATTGATTGATTGATTGATGGATGGATTGATTGATTGATTGATTGATTGAAATTAACAAAAAAAACTTATAAAAAACCCCTTGAAAAAAAAAAAAAAAGTTACAGCCATCGCGAACACGTGGGGACCGCACCCAAACCGACTCAATCAATCAATTAATCAATCAATCAATCAATCAATCAATCAATCAAGCTTGGTTGATTGATTGATTGATTGATTGATTGATTGATTGAAATTAACAAAAAAAACTTATAAAAAAACCTCCGCTTCCGCCCCCGGTTCTGCTTCCACCTCCGCTTCCGCCACCTCCCCCTTCCACCCCCGCTTCCAATCAATCAATCAATCAACCAATCAACTTCAGTTCATTGATTGATTGATTGATTGATTGATTGATTGAAAAAAAAAAAAAAAAAGTTACTATGATCGTGAACACGTCGGGACGGCACCCGATGTGATTGATTGATTGATTGACTGATAAAATATAATTATAATAAGAAAAAAAGAAAAAGGACAGGGGCTCCCCACCTCCGACGTTCACCCGTCCCCCTGCGTTTGCACCTCTGTATTCTCCACTTTCAATCAATCGATCAATCAATCAATCAATCATCGCTTGATTGATTGATTGATTGATCGATTGATTGATTGATCGATTGATTGAAAGATTGAAATTAACAAAAAAACTTAAAAAAAAAAAACCGCTTCCGCCCCCGCTTGCGCTTCCACTGCAACTTCCGCCACCCGCTTCCAATGAATCAATCAATGAATCAACCAATCAACCAATCAACTTCGGTTCATTGGTTGATTGATTAATTGATCGATTGAAAGAAAAAAAAAAGTTACTGCTATCGCGAACACGTGGGGATGGCACCCGACCCGACTCAATCAATCAATCAATCAATCAATCAATCAATCAATCAATCAAGATTGGTTGATTGATTGATTGATTGATTGATTGATTGAAATTAACAAAAAAAAACTTACAAAAAAAAAACCGCTTTCGCCCCCAGTTCCGCTTCCACCTCCGCTTCCGCCACCTCCCACTTCCCACCCCATTTCCAATCAATCAATCAATCAACCGATCAACTTCGGTTCATTGATTGATTGAAAAAAAAAAAAAAAGTTACTGCGATCGTGAACACGTCGAGACGGCACCCGACGTGATTGATTGATTAATTGATTGAAAAATTAAAATTATAATAAGAAAAAAGGAAAAGGACGGGGGCTTCCCACCTCCGACGTTCACCCGTCCCCCTTCCCCGCTTTCAATCAATCGATAAATCAATCAATCAATCAAGCGATCATTGATTGATTGATTGATTGAAATTAACAAAAAACTTATAAAAAACCCCGCTTTCGCCCCCGCTTGCGCTTCCACCTCTGCTTCCGCCACCCGCTTCCAATGAATCAATCAATTAATCAACCAATCAACCAATCAACTTCGGTTCATTGGTTGATTGATTGATTGATTGATTGAAAAAAAAAAAAAGTTACTGCTATCGCGAACAGGTGGGACCCTACTCAATCAATCAATCAATCAATCAAGATTGGTTGATCGATTGATTGATTGATTTATTGATTGATTGATTGATTGATTGAAATTAACAAAAAAAAACTTAAAAAAAAAAAAAACGCTTCCGCCCCCGGTTTCGCTTCCACCTCCACTTCCGCCACGCGCTTTACTGATTGATTGGTAGATTGAGAGAGAGAGAGAGAGAGAGAGAGAGAGAGAGAGANGAGAGAGAGAGAGAGAGAGAGAGAGAGAGAGAGAGAGAGAGAGAGAGAGAGAGAGAGAAACAGAGATAGAGAAAGAGAGAGGACAGAGTGGTGACCAAGATGCAACCAATCCTATAAGCATCGCTATGGCCGAGTTGCGCCAACACTCACGCACACATACGGGCAGACTCTACTCATCTACAATGTCCTTTCATACCCACTTACAGTCATTAATCGATTGATTGATTGATTGATTGATTGATTGATTGATTGATTGATTGATTGAGAGTAATCAATCAATTAACCAATCACTCAGCACAGAAACAAACACACACACTGACTTAATCAATTCGGCACACACGTCCGGCCAC